TACATGTGTGTCTCAAAATAGAAATATATATACTAGAGATGTCATGCTCATATACGGTTAGATCCAGAAATATTTGAACATTGACACAATTTTCAAAATTTTGGTTCTGTACGACACCACAATGGATTTGAAATTATGCAAGTGAAGTGCAGACTTTCAGCTTTAATTCAAGAGGTTGAACAAAAATATATTATGAACGTTTAGGAATTGCAACTCCTTATTTCAGAGGCTCATATGTAATTGGACAAATTTACAAAATCAGGAATAAAATGTAAATTTTTCTTATTTTGTTGAGAATGCTTTGCAGGCAATGACTTCTGGAACACATGGACATCACCTAATGCTGGATGTTCTCCTTTGTGATGCTTTGCCAGGCCTTTACTTCAGCTGTCTTCAGTTGTTGTTTGTTTGTTGGTCTTTCTGCCTTAAGTTTTGTCTTCAGCAAGTGAAATGCATGCTCAATTGGGTTGAGATCACGTAATTGACTCGCCCATCGTAAAATTTTCTAATTCTTTGCCTTAAAATACTTGCTTTCACAGTATGTTTTGAGTCATTGTCCATCTGTAAAGAGAGCGCCATCCAATGAATTTGGCTGAATCTGAACAGACAATATATCCGTATACACTTTAGAATTAGTCCAGCTGCTTCCTTCTTCTGTCACATCATCAATAAGCACTAGTGGCCATGTGCCATTGGAAGCCATGCAAGCACATGCCATCACTGTGCCTCCACCATTTTTTTTGATAGATTATATGCTATACTTCAGATCATGAGCCATACCAAGCTTTATCCATTCTTTTTTCTTCCAATCATAGGTTGATCTTAGTTTCATCTGTCCAAAGAAGGCTGCTCTAGAACTGGGCTGGCTTTTTTAGATGTATTTTGGCAAAGTCTAATGTGGCCTTTCTATTCTTGAGGCTTATAATAAGTTTTCACCTTCTGGTGAATCCTCTGTCTTGGTCTCTTTATGGTAGACTTGGATAATAATATGTCTACTTCCTGGACTTGGCTGGAAGTTGTGAAGGGGTTTCTCTTTACCATGGAAAGGATCCTATGATCATCCACCACTGTTGACTGATTTTTTTTGCAGCCTAAGGATGGCCTTGTTCACTTGCATTGAGAGCTCTTTTGACTACATGTTCATTAGCTTCCAAGTGTGAATACCACATCTAGAATCAACACCAGACCTCTTACCTACTTAATTGATGAAGAAATACCAAATTAATAGCCCACACCTGTCCACAAAGCAGCTTTTGAGTCAATTGTCCAATAGGTTTTGGTCCCTTTAAAAAAGAGGGGGCTACATGTAAAAGAGTTGTAATTCCTAAGCTCTTCCTCCATTTTGGATGTGAATACCCTCAAATTAAAGCTGAGAAACTGCGCTTTAAGAACATATTCATTATTTAAATGTAACTTGAACTTATTTTGGCAAACAGTTGAAATAACAAAACTTAAGTCAGTGTCCAAGTAGTTTCAGACCTAACTGTACATATTGTGCATACTACAATAAATAGTTGAGTTCCACTGTGGAATGTGCACACATCTACTCCTGTCCGCTATTATGTGTGTACTCCTTCCTCCCTCCCCAAAATGCCTATCATTATGCCTATCCCACGCATACTTAAACTCCTTT